GTTATTGTTTGTTTTTATGTTTTATACATGTTGTTATTGTTTGTTTTGAGACAGGGGCTAGCTGTTTGACCCAGGCTGGTTTTAAACTCAAGATCTAGATTTGCCTTGGCCTCCCAAGTGCTGAGATTCTTGTCACGATCCACTATGACTACTTAAACTTTTTAACTTCCACATATGAGTGAAAGCATATGGTATTTGTATTTGTACATCTGACTTAATTCATTTAACATTATTTTCTTTCTGTTTCATCTCTATTGTTGTAAATGAGAGAAGCTCGTTTTTAATGAACAAATAGCATTCCATTATGTATATGCATATTACATTTTCTTCACTGAGCTATCAGTAGATCTCCAGGCTTAATTCTGTACCTTGGCTATTTTGCCCAGTGCTACAGTCAACACAGGAGTGTATTTCTTGAGCATGCTGACTTCCTTTGTTCTGTATCCTGTGATGGGAATGAGGGCTTATATCACTCCTGTTTCTAGAATTGTAGAGAATTCTGTGCTGTTTCCCCTGATAGCCAGACTAACTTGTACCGATTTGATTGGTGTTCGCACCAAGAGTGTCTCTCCACGTGCTTGCTGGTCTTTGGTTCTTGCTGTCGCTGTCTCTACTTCATCTGGTTGTGGCTTTGACTCTGACCTTCATGCTGTTGAGCAGCGTTTCTTACATTTCCTGGGTATTTTTTCTATTCACGTCATTTTTAATTGGATCATAGTTGTTATTTTGCTATTGAGTTGCTTGAACTTTGTACAGTTTGTGGGTTGCCATCATTCTGTTACTTCTTGGCTGTTACCCCTTAGATTGGGTTTTGCTTTTGTTGCCAGAACTTTTGGATGCTACCCCCAAATATCTTTACTCACAATACTTCTGAAGTGTTTCTGTGTTTTCTTCTGGTAGCTTCATAGTTTCAACCCTTGTGCTCATGTCTGATCTATTTTTTATTGGGTTTTTGTATATGGCTCTTATAAAGGACTATTTTATTAAAGGCATTCTTTTTATCCTTCTATTTTGTATATATTTATAACATTTGTCTTTAACTTTATTAATGGGAAAGGATTTAGATTTTAAGATTTTTTAATTTTATTTATCTGTTCTGTGAGAACATCATACATGTATAAATATATTATTATCTCATCTACTTCCCAACCAACTTCTTCCAGAGCTGCCTATGTCCCTCTCCCAATTTCATGTTTTTTTTTTTTTCTTTAACCCACTGAGTGCAGTCAGAGCTGCCCATATGTACCCGGGTTTGGGGATACCCACCGGGTCATGGGTAACTATAGAAACTGCACCCTGAAGGAAACTGATTTTTCCTCCCCCAGCTGCCAGTAGCTCTCCCTGGGGCTGTGGCCCTGTGAGCCTCTTTCTCATCCCGGCTAGAATGTTGCTGGCTTGATCTTACGCAGCTCTTGTGGAGGCAGCCGCACTTGCGACTTGCTTTTATTTTGGACTCCTTTCTGTTCCATTGGTGTATTTATTGATTGTTGTCCATTTTAATGAACCCTAGATTATCTCTGCCAAGTTATTCATCTCTCAAGAATGTCGCAGGGATGGTCTCACCC